TCTATAAGGCATATGATTTTTCTCATTTAATCTGTTTAATAGTGTATGTCGATAAGTAATTTTTCTGACTTTGAATCATACTTGAATTCTTGCCATAAACCTTAATCATGATCTCAAAAATTTTGCTACTGGATTTGATCTACTAGTGTTTTATTTAGAAGTTTTCATCTATATGTGTGGTTGGGTTGGAATTTTCTTTTCCTCTACCATTCTTCCAAGATTTTGAAGTTGAAGTTGTATTAGCTTCATAATTGAGATTACATCAGCTTCGTGAGTTGTATAGCTTTCCTTTTGTTTTTATTGTCTGAAACATGTTCATTTTCATTAACTAAGGATTTTATATTTCTTAAAAGTTTAGTAAAAGCTATCTGTAAAAACATTTATGCCTGATGTCCTGGAAGGAAGAGACTTTGACATCTACTGCGATTGTTACTTGATCTTTTTTCTAGCATCCTATTTTATGTTTTTTTTTGCCATCCTGGTTCCATGCTTCTTTTATCTTGCCATCTCTTTTCAGATTTTTCCATTTTCCTTTGTAAATTATGATGATTTAGTGATGAGCTCTTGATTTATTAACATATATCTCACACATTAAATCCAAACTGTATTTTTTTCAGTGAAGTCTAAGATTATTTAACATTTGGAGACAAAAACCTTACCGTGCTTTAACCAGTCCTTGAAGCTTCTCTTCCCACCACCTCATGTTATTTTGTAGCCTGGGGCTTACTTTTATCTTTTTTCAACATGAAAAATATTTTTTAAATGATAGTAATTAAATTTGTTTGCAAATTTAAGAATTTCTCTCATCTTGAAAGAGGGCCCCCAAATTATTGGACATTCCTTCCGTGGAAAATTGAGGGTCTCTGCACCCTCTTCAAACTTGGTCGGTTTGTGACTGCTTTGACCAACAGAGAATGGGGGAGGTGACAACTTCTGGGCTTGGGTCATAAAAGGCCATGTGGCTTCCTCCCCGGAAGAGGGAGCCACCATGTGAGAAGTTTAATTATTCAGAGGCCACCATTGCAGTGTGGACACTGAGCCACATGGAGTGCCCACAGAAGGCATCCTGATCACAGCAGTCCTGTCTTCAAGATATCCAAACCCAAGCACAGACACAGGAGGGAAGAAGCCTCCAGGTGATTCCAGCCTCCAGCTGGCAAAGCACCACTTGCCCTTGAGTGTTTCCATCTGAGGTTCCAGACATCATAGGGATAAGCCAGCCCTGCTGTGCCATGTTCAAATTCCTGAACCACAGAATCCACATGCATAATGAAAGTACCATTTTAATGCCACTAAGCTTTGGGGTAATTTGTTACACAGCAACAATAACTAGAACCTGGTTGTTTCTTGTATCCCAGACCTTTATTTTTCTTCTTGCTGAAATGCATCCTTTAAGTGCTTTTTAAGTGATGTTCTGTGGGGCCACATACTCTTAGTCTTTGTAGAACCGAGCGTGTCTTTACTTTGCCCTCAGTCTTGAATGATGGTTGACAGTTCTTTGTTCTCAACACTTGGAAGATATCATTTCTGGCATCCCTTATTCCTCATGATGTTTTGTTCTCTCATAGCTTCAAAACATTTTAAAATCTAAAAAATCCATCAGTGAGGATTAAACAAATTTGTCTTACCTTTCGGTGCTCAGCATCTGAGTCCAAGGTGTTTGTCTGAGTTGTGGAAACTGAAGCAGCATGGGTTTCGTGGTCAGGCAGATGTGATTTTGAAACAGAGCTCTGCCCCTTGCCATACTGATCTTGGGCAAGAAAATTCTCCAAGCTTCTTTTCTACCTATTATTATCTGCTTCGAAGAGTTAATGTGAGGACAGAATGTAGTACATGCCTTCTAAGCATTTACTATAATGAGCAGCATTATCCTGCCTTTGCTTCACATTCTCCGTCAGACCTCACAGGTTGTTGCAAGAATTAAATGAGGATGTGCCCAGTATCGTGCCTTGTGCATGCTAGGCTCTCCATCAATGTTACCTTGTTTTTATGAGTAGTATTCAGCTGCACAAAGCTAGACGAGGTGGTGGCTGAGCAGGAAGAACAGGGCTCTAGGATGGAAAAGATTCAGGGGCCTCAGCACAGTCTGTGGTGCACCTGTGGGCCAGCCCCTCTCCTCCGGGGTCGGCTTCCTCCTGAATACAGGAAAAGCAGTTCCTGCCTCCTAGCGCTTGGCAGGGGCCTGGCTGATGTGTGCAACGTTTGGCAGGGTCTGGGTAAGAGAGCCGGGCCTGGTCACCTACGCCAGGAGAAGCAGTGTGGAAGTCTCCGGTCATGGCCACCTGGTGTGGGAGCAGGGTGCCTGACGGGGCTGCTCCCACGTGGCCCCCTAAGCCCTTCCTGAGCAGCTGAACTACGACACTAAGCCAGAAAACAGGTGCGTGGGCAGGTGAGAATGTGGGCTGTGAGCAATCCTGCCCCCTTGGTGGGCAAACCTGGGGTGGCTTTTCCAGGAACCACGGTTGCCTCCAGATGTTCCCAGCAGTGAAATCTGGGGCACGTGGTGAAAACCCAGAGTAAAAGGGTAAAAGACACCTGCACTGACTTGGGATCCAGGTGTCCTCTGAACGGAAATCACATCCGTCGACGGAAAATACACGGGTGTGAGGGTGTGTGTGTGTGTGTTTCAAAAGTAGAAACTATTTTCCTCAGCCCCGTTAGGACTCAAAGTTCATCTCCTGCCAGCCTGCCTTTGCTGACTGATTTTACTAGAAACTGCTGCTGGCAGCAAAGAAAGATCGTCTGGCTACTTCAGTTCACAGCATAGGCTCTTTTCAGTGAGCAGGAATTAGGAAGAAAAGAGTGAAAAGGAATTAAGGAGAAGAAAGGAGTCAACTACCTTTTGAAAGAGGCCGTTCTGGGCAGAGGTGGCAGAGGACCCCCCTCCCCCGGATCGCTGTGATGTTCCCCACCCTCACGGCGTGGTCAGCCCGCACCACTGGGGCGGCAGGGATCCTGTGGGAGTTTCGAGCGAGATAGAGCTGGCCCCTGCCACTGGGGGAGGGGGCCGGTGAACAGAGGGCTCTTTTTCCTAATTAGCTGTTTTTATACAGGGAACACATGACCCAAACACAACCACCAACTGTGTCTTTGACATATACAGGCAGAAAGGGGGAGCTGGGCTTTTGTCTGCTGCGGATTCTTTCAACTTGCCTGTCACCCCAAAGCTGCCGAATTGCACAATGAGTCGGATGAGCGGGACCACAGCAGACAGTGTGCTAAATGGACTTGGAAACAGGTATTATTTCAGCCCGCCTCGGGTTGGGAAATACTGACAACGTGAAATTGGGTGAGCGGCTCCTTGCCTTTCCTAAGAGATCTGTGACCGTTTCTGCCATTTGCCCAAGTTTCTGGTATATCCTAAAACAGTGCGTGGTTCAAGAAAGAAAGGAATACATTTCAAGGAAAATGTTTCTTGGTAATAAATCCAGCCCTTTCACAGAATCCTAGCTGTTCTACTGTCCTGATTTCCTATCATGTTGTTAACTTAGTAAAAACAAATGAGTTCCAAGAATCCTGCCAAGTAAATTACTTTCCCTGTCTAATGAAGGGGCCTCCGTAATCTATATAATCAGTTTAAGAATGAGCACACTGAAGATTAAGGGATAAAGCGAAAAAGGAGGCTTGCTTTGTGGACGCGGGTACGTATATTTGGGTGCGATGTTGTGGATTCTTTGATTTTGAAGCAGTGAACGGACCACAAAAAAGTTTCAGCCATTTGCTGGCTTGAAAGCAGCGATGCGCAAATGGTTTTCCCAGAACCAGTGGTGACATGTGCTAACACTAACTGCTGGAAGTCATCAAAACGCCGTGCCCGATGGCCCTGCCCAGGTATCGGCCATCAGAGCATTTCCATGCACCATTCACAGAGAATTTCCATCTGTAGCCACGGTGCAGGCCAGTGCCTAGAACTTCCCAAGGCCGAGATTAAAGAAATCCACAACAAAACACTTCTCCAACTGGGGAAACACAGTCTTTCATGGGCAGAGCTGTTTAGAAAAAATAGTGCCGCCTTTGTTTTACCACATACTCGCTTCGTTGTGTAGCACAACTGGAAAATGGTGACAAGACCATAAAAAAGCTGTATGGAAAAGTGTCAAATTAAACCCGAAGCAAAACCCAGAGCCGATTGGCTTAATTGGAGGTAATGAGAAATGAAACCACAAAGTCAAGTAGTGAACTGAAGCAATTACCCAGAAAATCTACCAACAGCCCTTTGCCGAAAGCCTCAAAATTTGAGGTGAAAGTGTTTGGAGATTTCAGATGTCTGGACGATGCCTTAGCGTTTTTCCTCACTTTGCTAACGAGGGCCTGGACTCAGTGAAAACGAGTAAACCGTGTCCCACAATGTAGCACAGCATTCACCCTGAGTTGGTGGTTCGGTTCCTGCCTGTGGACCAGCGTGAGCACCTCTGGGCAGACGTTCCAAGTCACATTACTCTGGGAGCAGTAGGTGTGGCCTTGGGGAGGGAGGTGAGGAGCACCCAAAAGGGTCAGCAAAACCAAAGGGAAAATGAACATGAAAGTCCTTTTCTAGGGATCCGACTGAGGCACAGTGTTAAAGAAACCTTTAGACACTCTTCCCACTCCTGGAGCATTAGCCAAGCTATATGCCAATGTTCCCACTCAGAGGCTTTCGGTCTTGGGAAGGCCACACTATGAAATTCTGCAATTCTGCAAATTTGGGACGCGGTGTTCACTGGGGACACCTGGCCAAAGCGGAGCGCACCCAGTGTTTTTCAGTCCTCTCTAAACTCCAATAATACTAGCTGGGTGAGAACCTCCATCTTCAGATTTGCATATGTTAGCACACAATGCTGTCTTTCTCCCTGAAAGTCCAGACAATGTCAACTCCTTCCAGAAAAGCTACATTTCAGGGTGATGTCCTTGTGGGCTCAGACACAGCAAGTGAGATCAAGGATGAATCTAGAGAGGTGACGTTCAAGCACCAAGTCCAGAGAGAAAGTGTTTGGATATGGTGAGGGCTGGGGCGGCCTTACCGAAGCTGGGGGCACTATGCAAGGTCATGTCCCGGATCACCCTTGTGCCAAAACAGGACCACATCAAGAGGAACTGCTGGGCCACTTTCTTCAGGGACCCTTGTCTCTTGGCAGCCACCTACAAGAAAGGGAACAGCTTAAACGGCAGTCAACGTAACCTTTCGTTTATTACTGACCCCCTGAAAAATGTCAGGAAGGCTTATGGGTCTCCAAGTTCAATGCTATGGAACAATGGTTTTTGACTTGCTGTGTCTTCCAGCAAAAAATATGCTTTAAAGAACGAAATCTTATGTCAAGACCAAGTGCACACAGCAGATAAAAGCGATGCTGACCTGGCTGAGTCAGGGAAAGGAGACTCATGGTCCTGCCTCCTGCAACCCCTACCTCCAGAGGGGGCCCAGGCCTCTCCTCAGAACTCCAGGGCTCCGTGGCTGCTGAGGAACATTCAGACAGCTCAGCGTGGGGCTCTCTATCTCCCAAGTGCCACAAAGGTGAATGGTGGGTCGCAGTACCTGGGCTGCTCCTTCCACTCTGGGTTACCAACCTTCACAACACACCGGTCCACCATGGTGTCTAGCCACTCAATGTAGGACTCGATGGGAGACTGTTCCTCCAGGAGGTGGTCAAATTCCTGGTACACTGTCAAACAAAGGAGAGACCCCCACATATCACTGCAGCTGTGTCTACACAGAGATACATCTTAAAAGAACAAAGGAATGAAATTGAATAGAACAGAACTCCAGTCTTAACAGAGCATTCAGGTTTTAGAAAATACGCCCCGACTTACCTTTCTAGGCTCATCTTCGCCACTTCTGAGCGCCTGAGAGCCTGGCTCCCATGTTTAACTTGCCATGCCCTCAACAAGCCCTGCTTTCTCAGGCAGTTCCCTCTGCCTGGACTGTCTGGTTCCTAGTGCCCAGCCCACATGATGCCTCTCGTGAAATCCCTTTCCTCCTCCACAGGACCCTCGCTGGTAGAACTGATCACTTGTCTTTGAAGCTTCCAGCAGAACTGGTCACTCGTCCTCGAAGCTTCCAGCAGAACTGGTCACTCGTCCTTCGAGCTTCCAGCAGAACTGGTCACTTGTCCTCCGAGCTTTCATAGTACTCTATTATCTGTATCCCCCACTTCGCTGCATTGCTAATGCTGTGTGACAGTTGTGGTGTGTCTCCGGGGCCAGTTCTCTGTCCGGGATCTTTCCTAGCTGGGGTCTTCCCCGTATGCGGCTGTTATCCAGGATGTGCTTGGTTGCATGAACAGACCCGGGCAGCACTGCTCCCTTGCTCCCTGCCCCGTGGCGGGGCACGTTTGATAGTTCAATGCTTCGAAACCACAACTATATTGGGCAAGTCGCCCAACCAGCCTCTCAGGGCTCAGCATGCAGTAGATGCTTAATAAATGTTCACAGTGCAAAGGAAGCAATATCTGTGCCCTTAGTTTCTGCGTTAGGAAAAGGAGGATAATGGTGCCACTTTATAGCCCGTCTTCAGCTGCTCGTCAAATAACCAGTCCGGAAGGGCTATGGAATTTGTGAAGCACTAGAGAAAAAAGAAACCTCGCTGGGGTGACCTCCAGTTTGAAACATCTCTTTTCATGACCGTTTTGTGCTTTCTGCATGTGGAGCTCCATGAACCAAACCACACCTTTAGATCCACACCTTTTTTTTTTTTTTTACAGTTTTCATTTGTCCAAGCCGTGTTTGGTCTCCCATTCACAGGCCTATCTGAGGTGCTCCGGTTTCCCGAGTTGATGACTGCAACAAGACATCAGCCACCCGCCAGGGAGATCAGAACAGTTTAGAATGACAAGGGGCTTTATTTATTTATTTATTTATTTAAAGATTTTGTTTATTTGACAGACAGAGATCACAAGTAGGCAGAGAGGCAGGCAGGGTGGGGGGTGGGAAGCAGGCTCCCTGCTGAGCAGAGAGCCCAATACGGGGCTTGATCCCAGGACCCTGGGATATGACCTGAGCCGAAGGCAGAGGTTTTAACCCACTGAGCCACCCAGTGCCCCGAAAAGGGGCTTTAAATGTCCATTGAGTCAATATCAGTGTCCTTTTACAGAGGAGGAAGCTGTGTTTCAATGAGATTAAAGGTCCCCCTTGAAATCAGAGGGTGAGCAAGTGCCAGAGCGGGGACAGAGCCCAGGTATCTGATTTCTCTTTGGGGTGCTTTCCTCTTGATGGCCCCGTGGATGCATCAGGCGCTATCGTGCTTCTGTCGACGATGGGGAGGACGACAGAAGTGGCGGAGACAGTGCTTACGGCTCACACCTCCTGGGGTCTTGCCGTGTGCCAGGCACCTTCCTCACTGCTTTGCAGGGACACTCTAGTCTAAGCCTGCAGCAACCTCGGGAATGTGATAGCGGATTCTCAGGTGCTGGCTGAACCCAGATGAACCACCCAAGGAGGCCAGTGCTGTTATTGCTCCCGTTTTCCAAAAGGGGGGCGGAGGCACTCAGCGACGCTCTGCAGGTCTCACCGCCAGCGAATAGCAGAGGCGGGTTTCAAAGCCAGCCAGACCCGACGCTCATCTCCCAAGCACGGCACCGTCCCAGGCCCCCTTCCATCACCCTGCGGTCTCCCCGTGTCAGAGACTCGGAGGCCGGGGTCACTGGGCGCAAGAGCCAGGGATTTTTGGGCACCCCACCCCCCTGCTCTTACCACGGTCATGCTCATCAGCACGCTCAAGTCCGAATGTGCGTTCTTTAATTTAGGGTAAGCGAGCATTCCCAGGAAGGGCTGTTTCACTGAGGAGACGGACACCCCCTAAAGCAGGAACGCACAGGCTTGTCAACTGCTGATAAGGAAAGGAGGGCGCAGCACATAGTCGTGGTCAAGAACTTACTGCCCAGCTGTCTGGGGTAGGGGGAGGGGGATCTGCAAGGATGATATTCACGTGCCAGGCCTGCTGCCTTGGGGGCAGGTGCCCTTGTTCACTCTGCTCCCCCCTTTCCAGGCACTGCATCATACAGAGGTGTCCTCTTGGGTAACACGCCACCATTTGTGAATTACTTGTTCAATGTCTGATCTTTCATTAACTCTGAGCTCCACACGGGAAGGGCACTGTCCATATTACTCATTGCTTTTTGCCCCGCTTCTAACACAGTACCTGGGCCACGACAGGCGTTCAGTATCAGCTGGGATGAACCAAACCTCAGCACTCCCTTCCTCTGGAAGAAGAGCACACTCACAGCTTTAAAGGGTGCCATTCTGTCCTGGGCCGAAGAGAACCTGAAAAGGAAATCCCGAAACGTTTTCTTCTTGGAGAGGCTGCAGTGATCTCCGAGGTGTTCCAGCAAAGGCTCAGAGCGTGGTCCCTACAGCAAGCGATGGGGACCGCATTGTTCCCTGTGAGTATGGGCGATGTTTTCCTCCTCCACAAAAGGTGCTGTGGGGGCTGGGGGGAGAGCTGGGTCTCATGCTGCTGGGAGTCGTGTCCTTCTCGGTTCCCATTCATCTGTCTGGCCCAACCAGACAGATGGTTCCCATGCATCCATGCCTGGCCTGGGCTGAGGTCCTGGAGACACAGTGATCAGAGGTACAGCTAGTGCTGGTAGGCAGCTGACACCGAAGCTCTCTGTTGGCCTTGTAGCAGGGAGCAGGGACAAACAGAACAGGAGCATGACCATAAGAATCTGAAAAGACCCCGCAGCCTCTGGAACTTGCCCATATCTCATCATTTTTGTCTTCTCTTCTCCTCCAAGTGAGTAGCACTGGAGCATGGTGGTGAGGCCAAGGTCAGGCCTAGGTCAGGGGCCCCGCTCTACTGCTGGGGGTAAGGGTCACCTGCTCTCTGAGGCTGAGCCTTGTGCTCTGTAAAATGGGGGCAAGTGTCTTCCTCGTGGGGTTGGTGTAGAGAATTAACAAGATTATGCCCGTGGTAGGTCTGGCCGAAGACCCTGCACAGAGGAGGCCATTTGTGAACTCCCGTCTTATTTTAGGGAGCACCTCTAAGTTCTTACCAGGGGCAAGCAGGCTGGCGGCTGCTGTGGAGGAAGGAACGAGTACGCAGGGCGCTCCAGGAAAGAAGTCCCAGGGAAGGACCCCAGGGTTCAGGTGTCAGCTGCTCCTGTGGCTTCTGAAAAGGACTCAGTGGGAAGGGGGTCTCTAATAGGAACATCTTTCCGAACCTAGTTATTTTTAACCACCACATGCTTAGCCTGGCTGAAGAAAGTTCCCTCAAGAGGACATGCAGAAGGCACAGACTGGCAGTCTGAGGGGCCTGGGGTGCTCAGGAGAACAGGCCCAACTTCTCAGGGGATGGCCGACCTCGCACAGCTTCCCGTTTCCGCACTCCTGGCCCCACCCAGGCATGAGAAAGGGAGGCTGAGCAAAGCCAGGAAGCTGCCAGGAGACCCGCATCCAGGGCCACTGGGTGTGGGAGGCCCGGGGCCGCAGGCTGCGGTGGGCGCGTGAGGAACAGCAGAGGTGTACGGACGGTGGCGGTGTTCTCTGGCCCCTGCACATCCGCAACTGCTAACAACACCCGGCTGACCTCATCCAGACAACAGCTGGAACATTCCCGCAGTCTTTGTCCACCGGGACATGAACACATGTTCGCAGAAGTGCACCACCATCCGTTCCCTCCCCCCGCCAACAATGAATGTGATGGCAGGTTCGCCTGCCCATAGCTGGGCTGACTCGTGCCACCCTCCGCTGGGAAACAGGCACAGTGTATCCGGCTGACTCCAGGCTGATGTATGCGCGGACAGGCAACACACTGCTGTTCTCATTTTTTTCTGTCACCTATGGGACTACGCCCGGCACCGAGAGTCACAGGTGGGGCCTTCTGCCTGACACTGTGCGCTGCCCAGCAGCACCCGGCTCCCTTTCCCCCAGAGATGTTGACACACGTCCTCTAAAATCAATTAGCCCTCCCATCTGGGCTGACCCGTTTAACAGGAACAATAAGAGGGAAGGGATCCTAGGGGGAAGGACAAGGTGGGAATGCCACTTAAATATTTACGCACTTTTTCTTTCTTTTAAAAACAAAGAACAGACAGACCCCTTGGCGGAGCATCTTACACTGGATGATGAGTTTCCGGTGCTCATCGCGGGAGTCCTCCATGGTGTAGAGGGTTTGCTTGGTGATGCTGTTGAGGTCCACGTTCCTCCAGTCTTCTAGCATTTGGAATGTGATGTCTGCGCTGTGGATCACTGTACGAGATGCCTGTAATCCAAGCCAATTAACTCATTAGCTCGAGGGCTGTTAGGTTAAAACCCCGGCACGTTATTTTCTTTTGAATGAATCTGCATAGGGTATTTTGCAAACTACTTTGAAATTCAGGAAAACCCCATTTCAGGAAATCAGCAGATGAGCCCATCACTTGGAAGACCTGTACAGTCTTTTCTCTTGTGGCTCTCTTCTCTCAGCTGTGTAAAAGATTTCTCCAGGGTGGCCGAGGCCAGACCACACCCTGCTGTTCCCAGCCCCTTTGGTCTTGACCCTTGGGGAACAATGGGATGGAGGCCAGAGACCCGTCAGCCTACAGATGTAAGCTTGCAGGATGGGAGCGCTGTGCTTAATAACCCACGTGTCTCTCGTGTCCGAGAAGCAATGGGCCCAGACCATGGAATGGTCCTGCTACCCATGGGCCAATGACGGTTTCCATCTCAGCAATCTGGCCATGTGTCTTTTTCATATAAATGCATTCTGAAGCAGTTTATGGTCTAGCTTTCTCTTTTTGCTTTTTGGTTTTTAGGTGACTATCATGAGGAGAGGAAGGGAAGGGGAATAAAACCTTGAGACTCAGTTGCTCATTAACGTGCCTGTGGTGTTTGCGCCAGCACGCTCATGTGCATATTCAACCTGTGGTTTACTCCGCAAACCCTGCAGTTGGTGAATGGGAACAATACTTGGGACCACCAAGTTCAACAATGCTGATAAGCAAAGAAAAACATTTCCAGATTCATTTCCTTTGCTTGCATGTTTTTAAAATGTTTAACAAAATGGAAAAAAAAAAGATTTCTGATACACATGGACATTAAAAGTCTCCTAATGCGTGTGAATTTCCAGGCAAAGGTAAATACTGACAACCTCTTTCTCCCCACTCTGAGCACAAGTAAATTCTTACTTAAATCACTATAGGACTTTTTGAAGGTCAGCGGCCTCGAATATATGAATTATGAATTGGGTCCATCTCTAATGATAATGAAAACAACCAGAAGTAAAGGTCTGGGATTCTGGACTCAAATATATTGAATTCAAGTCCTGGCCTTGCTGCTAACCAGCTGGCTGATTTGGGGTGGGTCAGCAGATTTAACCTTGGTTTGCTGATCTAGAAAATGGAGGGAAGAGGATGTGCCTCTGAAGGAGGCTGCTGTTGGGGGACTCCTTGAGATAATGTTTGAAAAGGGCATAGTTTAGGGAGGAAGAGCTCAGTACAGGAGCTACTGTTACTCAGGTCCGTGCTGGTTGTGGTGATGCAGGGACACCTCAGGGCCAGGGCTCATGGCTGGGGGCCAGCTGGGGCGGTCCTCTCTCACCCTGCCCGGCAATCCTGCCATGATGCACGCTCCAACTACAAGGTCACACCCGTGGTGTGGCCTCCTTAACCCCTGTGTCTCAGTCACACTCACGTGCCCCATTATTCTCTATTTCCATTGTGTTTCCTTCCTAACACTTAGCACTTTTAATTAATTATTCTTTCGTTCACATTTTTTTCCCTGCTCAGGGCAAGTACCACTGAACATCGTGTCTGACATATAGTAGGCGCTCAAAAGATTCTGTGCAATGAATGGTCGAGACAGGAATGCCAAGCTGCTTGCTTAGTGTACCCGAAAGGGCCTGGGTACTTAGATCCTGGGTTTCAACATGACTTGTCTTGTATGTGTTTAGGAAAGCTTGCTGGGATGGATATTAGCTGGGAAGTTCCATGGGGTTTCCTTCCTGTCACCAACCCCAGTTCCTCTGGCTGGTCCAAAAGTGTGTCTGTGAGCTTGTCCCATGAAGATGGAAAGGTAGCACATGCTGATTAAAATACGTACCACGTGTGTGGGAAGCGGAGCATGAGCTTGTGTGTGCATGTGTGTGAGAGCACACACACGTGCTGGCGGCTGTAGGTACAGGTATGGATGTTTTTACCTGCATGCATTAAAGGCTCAAAGGCTTCCTTAAACTGCCTGAGCCCCAGAGGGAGGCATCAAAGCCATGCCTAGTTCTCCAATATGATCGAACCCCAGCTCTTCCAAGCTGGGGAAAGAACCAGAAGGCATGCACCCTCAGAAATACAGCAGTGTTTCTCTGTTGTGCCAATATTTGTTTGCTACCCTAAATCCCACTAATCTGGTAGGGCTCTGCCCTATTCCGGAACAGTGCCCAGGTGTGGCCTCTCTCACAACCAGCATGAACATGAAGGTATAACTCTGGTTTCCAGATCTTCCAAATCACCCGCTGCGCCATTTATGCCGGGGGCAGGGTAGCAACAGTGAGATGCGCAGGGGTGTAGTTCTGTATTCTGAAAGTTCCGTAGTTCTGTAGTTCTGTATTTTCAGAATACAGAACTGGCCTGGAGGCTTCCTTCGGGTCACTCTAAGTAGAAACCCCTCCCTCCAACCTTGACCTTAAATAAACAGCACTGACCCAGAACCCACGGTAAGAGGGAGAGGGGGCAAAACCCACCCACACAAAGAAGGCAGGCATATGGCAGGCGGGAGTGAGGGGGTCCTGCCAAGCTTTAAGAGGCAGTGGGGCTGACAAGGAGGACAGTGCCTGATGGAGAGGAGCTCGGCCCATCCACTCACTTCCTGCCCTGGGAAATATGGCTCAGGGGCTGTTTAGCTGACATCTCCTAGGGTCAACTGTTAACAATGAAGAAAAAAAATTTTTGAACACATGCAAATCAAACAAAACTAACCCCACCCATCTGAGGGCCAGATCTGACCTGTAGCCACCAGTTTGCCCCTTCTGCTTTAAGATCATTAATGTTCTAACGAATGTTAACTGGGGCCTTATTAGGATTCGATTCCCTTCCTTAAGGTGTAAACTTAAGAGAAACATAAAGCTTTATGCCATCAAATCATCACCAAGGACTCATGGGGAGATATTCTGCCTTTCACTGTATGCATTTTTGTTACTGCTGAATTTTTTATAGGAAGCATATGTCACTTTAGTGCTGAAAAGAACAAAAATCCGGAGAAAATAAATAAAAGTGGGTAAATATTTAACATACTGTGCAGCTCTGAACTCCTCGGGATGATACATACACAGCAAATCACCCCCTTTATGCATTTGAATCATTTATCTCTGTGACTCCCAAGAAGGGGCGAGACACTGCGCTCCCCGGGCTCCATTGGGGCTGGTACCTGGGGGTACCTGGGGGTACCTGGGGGTGGGGTGCCGGGCATCTGGTGTCGGCATGCGGGACGGTGCCAGGGATGCCACCAGATCTCTGCACTGCGCCAAACACGTCTCGAGAGAAAGAATGGTCCAGGCTCAAGTGCCAGCTATGGCTGAGAAAGCCTCATCCACTCAAGGGAAATGCAAACTTGCACCAGAACATGATGCCTGGTTAAGGGGCGACTGACGTCAGAAGCTATTCTGTATGTTAATCAAAACTATTTCGTGATTGCCTAATGTTTTTATTCTTCATCAGTAGAAATTAAAAGTAATGGTAAGGATATATCAAACACCTATTATGCTGCATTCAAAGACCAAACAGTTCCTCCCGGGAGCTGTTCTGTGCATGTGCCCCTCACAGGTGATGACTCCGCAGGACACGTACCTGGCAAAGATGATTCAGTGATGTTTGCCGTCTCAGAATTTGGGAAAACCTTCTCGACACTGCAAGAAGGAAGAGTTAGTCTGAAGTATTTGCACTCTGTATGGTCCCACCTCGGATTTTCCAGGGGCGGATTTCAAAAAGTGGCTTATTGGCCTAAATTTGTCTCGCGGTCCAACCCCATTTTTTATGCACCCGCTGGCAAAACCCTGCATTTGATTCTTTGTTCTCCCGTGCGGACAATGATTTCCTAAAGCGGCGATATTTGGGGTACATATTTCAAAGTCAACCGCATGCCATACTGGCAGGTGTGAGAAATTGTGGCGTCAATCAACCGTGAGTAAAAGCAATTATTTACTTGTCTTTCATTTCGCTAATTGCAAGCTCAATCGCTTCTCCCCATAAATAATTGCTGGAATCGAGTGGAAGCTTTGAAGAAGGCCCTTTAAAAGTAGTATATCTAATAGGGAAACTTGATTGAGCCTCAGCGGTGTGGTGGTGCGAGGGGTAGCTTTTAGGATGGGACCCCGGGCTATATCTTGGAATGCTGCTTTGCATTCATAATCTGCCATTTTTATCGAATGATCGCTATGACCTGTTGGTGAGTTTCACTGATCCTGTTTACGACAGTGATAAATCAGGCTAATGGTTCGAAACGGGGTGACCCGAAGATTTCAAGACCAGGCAGTCAAGTTATGTGCCAGCCTCAGGTCTCAGCTCTCACAGAGTTGTCTGGAGTGGTGAGCGTTTCCACTCCTCGCCCATCCTCAAAGTCCCCCTGAGGTTCCCTGGGAAGAGGGGTTCCCGCGGCCCGACAGGTGTAAGGTCCCACAGACCTCCTCGCTGCCAATTTCAACAGGTTTGTTTGGTCAGCATAATTAAAACAGGCGCAGGGCATTCTTCTCATTAATTTCTGAACTGGTCAAGAAGCAGAAATTTCCCTGGGATTATTCTAATTTGTACTCAGAGCCAGCTTGGTTTGAAAAATAGGGCGTGGGGTGGAGGGATGGGGGGGTGGGGGCACAGATGAACTTCTAATTTTCCAGACCGATCAATCGTTAATCCTTCTCCTTAATTACTTTTTCTTTAACTTTGTGATGTGGAATTTAGTGCTCATGAAAAGAAAAGAACTGAGAGCCGTGAAATAAAGCAGGCTTTATCAGTAGGTGCTGGGCGCTGCAGGCGGCCTCAGCCCCCGAGCGGGTCTGAAAGGGCTCCCTGTGCCTGCCCAGAGAGGGTAATTTGATCCCCTTCATTTTCCCTGCCGCCACTTACTCCCGGGCAAGAATGGCAAGCTGTATTCAAATGCTGCTTTAAGAAACCTATATCTTAAAACTTTGTTTGGCTTAAAATCATTTCATCTTTGTGGAGTAGCACGTGCGTCTTTCCACAAGTACGGAAACACCAGGACAGAGGAGGAATAGGACCAGTTTTCGCAGGCAAAACAAATGGGGGAGGATGGCTGGTGATGCTCAGCAGAGGAAAAAAAAAATCACAGTCCTAATCCCCGTAGGAGAAATATTAATTTGGCTTTCTCATTAGGCAGAGAATTGAATATGTGAAGCCCTGAAGCCTTTCTCAGGCTCCGGTCACCACCTTTTTGGGGGCGGGGGCTTCGAGGAAATCTCAGAGTTTTGGGGTTGGACAGACTTGAGTTTGACTCCTGGCCCCTTCTTGCTGGCTGGGTAGCTGGGTGGCTTTCGGGAGGTTTCTCTGTCTCTCGGAGCCTCATCTGCAGGGAGGGGATGTTGCCCCCTGTATCACAGAGGTGGCATGAGGATTAAGTGGGACGAGATAGTGGTGACGAGCAGACACTCTGGTGTGGACAGACAGACCTGGGGGGAAATCCTGCCTCTACTACTAACTAATCCCCCTAAGCCTTTTCATTTGCCATAAAAGGAGAAGGGCACCACCTGTAACACACCTTTTGGGAGCACTGAGGAAGTTCATGCAGGAAAAGCGCTAGGCTTAATATCTGGTGCTTTGCAAACAGTAAGTGGAAGTTATTATTATTATTATTATTATTGTTATTATTTTATGAACAACCAATGTAAGACTGTTTGGCCCTAAAATGTTGTTTTCCCTTCCCCTCAGCTTGCCACCTCCGTACTTACATTCAAACTTAATGTTCCGCAAGTTTTCTGGGAGGTCATGGAGAGCCACTTTTAGCCACTCATCCAGCTGCTTGGCAAACTTTCGGATCACCTGAGTTAAGCTGGAAGGAAGAAAGGATCCGTTTAAGTGCCTTGTGTGTTGCCCGACCTGGTTGGGTTGTTCTAGAATCGTGTTTTGGCCGTGCCAGTGTCACTCGGAGCAGTGGCCTCAGGGGCAAGATGGGTGGCCCTACGTGGCACTTGTGGGCATGAGCAGGGCCTGGAGAGAACGTGCTCTGGTGCCCATGCTGGTCGCCGGAGGACGCCCTCACTCTGAGCGTCATTGGTTGTGCTGCTGCAGAAGGCTGTGTGAAGGGTGTGGAGGGAGGGCAGTGGGCCTGACAGCACCTTCTGCTGCCACTCTGGGCCCAGTGCCCCCCGCCCCCCTGCCCCCGGCCTGGTTCTGGCTGCCCCTGACGTGGGCCACTTGGCAGGAACTGGGAAGCACCGACCCACAGTCCTGACCTTGAAACCATATCCCGTTTGGAAAGCAGAGGTTCTGTCTGGGTGCCGGGGGTGAAGGGTGAGAGGACGGCAGGTTTGCAGCAGTTTGTATCAGAGATGGAAACAAGGAGGACCTTGAGAACCGCTTTCAGGCTCTCACTGTGAACATCAGGGGCTGGCTCCTGTGTCATCCCTGGAGTCCTCCTTCGGCTTGCCACCACTGGGACCTCAGCCACCATGGAGTGTTCATGCTGTCCGCGCCCCCCACTCCCAACACCCCTACTCCCCGCAACACCGCCTACATGGCCCTGGCCCTGGGTAGTGTCCCGCAGACTCTCCTGTCAGACCCTAATCACCGACCTCCCCTCCCTCCCCGAGGCAGTCCCACCAAGTTTCTCTTTCCTTCACTCCTCACTTTGCCAACCTTCTCCAAGACCCTCCACCAGCAGTGGGCACCATCCCCACTTCTCAGGCAACACAGCTGCAAAGGGAGAACTTTCCAACATTCCACTAGAGCACAGCTCTCCTCCCCGGCCACCATGACAGAATCAAGGGCCAACCCCATGTCATCCCCTCCTGCCTCCTCGGGAACCCTACCTCCATGACTGCCCCTTCTCTGGGGTATCCCACCTCTTCCTCTCACCAACCATGTCTCATCTTAAAAATAAACGCTCTTATTTCCTCATGCTCTCTCTTCAGGGTGCCACCCTCTATCTTCCACTTCACAGACATCCTTCTTTAGAGACTTGTCCACACTCTTTCTTTTCCTTCGCCTCTCACTCACTCCTGTCCCACAGGCTAAACAGCTCCCACCAGGCAGCAAGCTGCATCCAAATGTGAACCCAGTGGACTCATTTTGGTTCCCATCTGCCTTGACATCTTGGCAGCATTTGGCTTTGCTGGCCCCTCCTTCATTTGGAAACATTTTACTTCCCCTGGTGGTTGTGGCCCCTCTGTGTTGTGGCTACTCCTTCTCAGCCACAAAGCTCAGCCCCTCTACCTGGCCTTTACTTCCTCCAACTTCTCCACATCCAGTCCTGGGCCCACATGTCACACTTTGTCCTTCCCTGGATAATTTCTCTGTGACCACAGCTTTAGTTACTATGTACACTTGCTTTTGAGGTCCAGAACAAAGGTCTTCAAAAACTCTAGACCAACCACGTACAGCGCCCCTCCACTTAGTGTTCTAAAGGCACATCAACCTCAACATGTCCAAACTGAACTCATTGCTTCTCCGTCAGACATTCTTTTCTTATGTTCCCTATTTCACTGGGAACTCTACTTTCCCTAAAATTTTTGCTTTCAACTTTTTTGTATGGAGAAATTTCAAATATACCCCAAGATAGAATGGTATAATAAACCTCCAAGTAATTCTGATCCAGCTCCAATAAAGAGCAGTTCAGTTTATCACATGCTGCTCTGTCTTTTCTGGAACACTATAAACAAATTCATGATGTATCATTTCAGAAACTTTGTGTCCATCTTCCAACATGCACTTAAACATGTGCACACACACACACACACACACACACACACATTTAAAACCATCGTTGCCATTAGTATACTTAACAGAATGAACATCAATCCCTTAATATTATCTAAAGCCCCGTCTGTCCTCGAATTTCTCTATTTCTCTCAGAGCAGTCTTTTGGTTTCTTTGAATCAGGATCCAAACAAGATCTACACATTGCACAAAAAATTACCTTATTCTATTTCTAAAGACTTTTTAAAAAGCCTCTTTCATGCAATTGGTTTGTTGACCCCCTCCTGTTATTTGTTCCCTGGAATGTCCCACCCTCTGATTTGGTTGACACCATCATAGTGTCATTTAACCTGTTCATCTATCCTACGTGCTTCTCATAAACTGACAGCCCAAAAGAATAGATCGAATGAAGTTACAATTTTTTTTTAAGGCACGAGAACTTCACAGGTGGCCCATGTCTGCCCTCTGTACCACACCGTAAGGCTTATAATGGCTGCTGGCTCCTCTTTTACTGTATCTGGTTTTTGACATTGAATAGTCTCTTGTCCCATAAGCAGGTACTGCCGATTTTTATCTCCAAGTTTCTCTCAACCTCAGCCAGTCTTTCCCTTTTCTCCCAGCTATCACTACCTCTCACCCGGGCCAGTACTGCAGATTCTGCAACAGTGGGTATAAGAGCCTACCTGCTCTGCTCACCTCCCAACCTCTACCTTGTCTTGCACATTGCAAGAGGGATTTCCCCAAAACACTTGCAATTCTGATCTAGTTCACCTTCTGATTAAAAACCCCCTAATACTTTCACATGCTTCTTAGGGTAAAGACCAAAATCCTAACCACGATCCCCAAAGCTCACATTCCAGCCTTGCTTTCCTCTCCAGCCTCACTTTGCAGTGTCTCTCTTCACCATGTTTCAACCCCTCTTGCCTCTAACCAGTTCTTTCCCACCTCAGAGCCTTTGACCTTGGCATCCTTCCATCCAAGAGCATCCTACCCTTCTTCATCTACTCAACTCCTCATTGATCTGATCTCAGAGCAAGTGTCACGTCCACAGAAAAACTTTCTCTGAAGTCCCCTAATCTAGGTCAGAGCCCCTGATTGTTCTTCTTGAAGGGGCAAGTTGTGACAGTTGGTAACTATACACTGATTTGTGTGATTATCTGGTTCATGTCCATCTTTCCCAATAGACTGTACGCTCTGATGTGGAGGGCAAGGGGCTATGTCTATTTTGCTTATCACTGTGTGTTCAGCACCTAGCATAGTGCCAGACACCACAATGTGCCCCCCTTTATCTATCTGACTTCAGCTCCTCCCACTCCCTCTCACCACCCCGACTCCTGCCAGCTTACTCAATTCACACAGCACCAGCTTTCTTTCTCTTTCTTCAGGTCCTTGACAACCTCACCATGGCCTTTGCATCTGCTGTTCTCCCAGCTTGGAAAGCTCCTGCCCCAGATTGCAGCCAGTTTTCTCCCTTCCTTTACAACTTTAGAGGTTGGGTTCAAGTGCTGACCACAGGATCTGAAACTGCCAGTCTCCTCACACTTCCAGCTCTACCAACTATCTCAACACTATTGAGCCTGCCATATGTTTTTAAAAGATCAGCCTTGTTCCTGAGATGAAAACTGAGTTTAGAAGGGCAAGGACAGAGCAGGGAGATCTGTTTGAAGGTTATCCCAATAATCCAGGCAACAAAGCATCCTGGATGAGGATGGTAACAGTGGAAATAATGCAATATGGTCAGATTAAAATACTTAGACGGCAGAGCCAACCATGATGTCCTGGTGAGTGGTTGTGGGTGTATGAGGAAAGAAGGTTGTCAAAGATGTCTTCATGAAAGAAAAGTGGTATATGTACCCCCTGTGCCTAGCACAGTGCCTGATATACAGGAGGTGCTTAATAAATGTTGAATACTGAGTGAACCAAAAGTACTGCACACGTAATAAAGCCCTAGCACATTCTCAGTGACTAGCACACTGGATCCAGCTTTGAAGTGAGAAGACTTCTCAGAGTATTTGGCCACTCTTGAGGTCAAAATTTAGAGAAGTGTGTGGAGTAATCATCTGATGGCTGCTGTACCATCCAGGAGGGTGGGCTGCCATTGCCCACCCATGACACCTTTCCCAGGGGCCATTACTTGCAGCTGGAGTAGAGGAGCTGCCCTTTGTATGGGAGCAGGAAGTAAGCAGAGGACCAGGGATGGTCCTTTTGCTTTATGCAATCATTTGATTTACTACACTGAAGAAAAGCGGGAAGAGACTAATCTTGGAAACAATTCTATTTCGGGATTTGGAACTGGGACAGAATTTAGGAGTGATCTGAACATGAGCAAGTGAAGAGCTGGCCTCCTGATCACCTAGCCTGGAGATACCCCCTGGCCCACTCCACCTTCCTGCAGCCTCAGATGACCCCGACTATCACCTTCTTTCTCACAGACTCTCCTCCGATGGTATACACCCTGTGGTCTGACCCCCTTCTCTGCTGACTACCCTGTCTCCTTCCATCTCACTCCCCAGGCTGGCACTCCCAGGGTCTGTCCCCAAAATCCAGTGTTACACCTTCTCGTCCCTTTTGTGCCGGTGGCTCTCTTGTCTATAGCTCCTGCTTCAGCCCTTCTCTTGCATCTTTTTAAAAAAATATTTATTTATTTATTTATTGGAGAGAGAGAGAGAGAGAGAGAGAAAGGGAGAGAGCATGAGAGGGGTAAGGGTCAGAGGGAGAAGCAGACTCCCTGCTGAGCAGGGAGCCTGATGTGGGACTCGATCCCTGGACGCCAGGATCATGACCTGAGCTGAAGGCAGATGCTCAACCAACTGAGCCACCCAGGTGCCCCTTTCTCCTGCATCTTAATTCCACACTTGTAACTCTCTGAATGGCTTCCTGCCCTGATGCTGGTACAACAGCAACAGCGCTAATACCAGCTGCTGTTAATGAGTGCAGTGTGTCAAGTGCTAAACACTTCACACGTATTTTCTTATTTAACCCTCACATCTACCCTGCGAGGTAGGTACTATTGTTAGTCCTAGCAGAGAGGTGAGAAACTGAGGCTCAGAGAAGTTATGTGATTTGTCCGAGGAGATCCAACAAGCAAATGGACAAGCCAAGACTGAAGACTGCATGTGTGTGCCTCCAAAGCTC